GTGTGGTCACCACAGTGGCCGACACCAGCGGCGTGAGGTCACCACAGCGGCGGATACCAGCGGCGTACGGTCACCACAGCGTCCGACGCCACAGCGGCCGACACCGGCGGCGTGCGGTCACCACAGCGTCCGACACCACAGCGCCCGATGCCAGCGCATCGACCCTTTCGTATTGCACACGCACGCTGTCTGCAAGATACTGCTATCCCCATTAAGATTTGTTGTTATAGATGGTGGTGGCGCTGGATAGTGTGTGACGCACGGCTGGGTGGAAGCTGCTCTCCATCCAGCTGACCAAGCTGAGATCCGTCGCTCGTTGGTCCAGGATTGAGACTAGGCTACGAAGTAAAAACTAGTGCTTAGCCTGATAACTGAAGAGCCCAGCGACGTCCTGTTTATCTTTAGGAAGGATTGGGCGCTCCAAAAGTCGTCTGCGACTCACGGGGAGGGAGAAGTGGCGTACGTCTCTGGTTCATGATGTGTCTTGGTTTTGCCAGCAGTTTCTCGCTTGTCATGCGTTGATTCTTGGCAGCCAAGCATTTAGCAGCGGTAGTTCCATTATCACAGTGTTTTAGTTCACGGCCGAAGGCAAGCTACAAATTTAGCAATATTACGGTCTTTGTTATTTTGACCTTTATGGAGCTATAACTGGCTGTTCATTCATGCGTGAAGCGGGGCGTACGACGAAGATCATTTGGTTCAGGAATCATTCACTGTGGACAATTTTTATGTATGTAAGATCTGTAAGTACGATATACGTATGGACAGGGACGCCGCCAGGCTGCTGGAGTTTGTTTTGTCGCGTCTGCGTCAGATATACGATCGAATCGGTATGAAGTTTTGTTGGCATAGATCTGGCTCACATGCGTCTCTTTAAACAGGCTTTTGAATACCTGCGAAGCATTTGTTGCCGAAAATCGTTCATAAAAGCTGGATCGTTGGGGAATAAAGGCCTAAAACATTGTTAAAAGTTCTGAAAAGTACCCAAACGTAATTATCCATGAAAACGGGTAATAGCTCTTGTATTATGTCCAACGCCTTTAAGGCCGATCAGTAACTTTTCCGGTAAAGCGAAGCCAGTGCAGCGAGGTGAAATCCAACTCACCAATCTGTGTTTTCCTAAACCACATATGAAGTCAAAAGCGGACAGCTGGTTTCTCATGCACTTTTTGTGCATTAGCCAGCGAACACAGTATAAAGGACTCAGAATAACCGTACATCGGCCGTCCTACTCTTGTACCTTGCGGTGACAAAGATACAAGTGCTTTCTCATCTGGTCCTTTTACCCACCACGCCTACGCACGGGGTGGATGCGGCGTGAACGTGGGCCCTCGTATTGGAGGGATAAGTTGTTTTGGGTTGCGTTGTTTTGCAGCACATGTGCCATTTATGCCATGCTTGTGTATATACGCAGCCTGGAACATTCCAGATTTCAGATTGATCGCATTGCTTGTCCACCTGCCGTGTGAGTTTAAGATTGTACGACCCCGGGTGGCTCGGAACGACGGGTGGTGCACAGCCTTATTCACATGTTCACGTGCATATGTATGTATGTACATAAGCGCTAGCGTGGAGCGCGCGTGCTCGCGCGCGTTGCAGGGCGCTTGTGTACGCTGATCACGCACCCCAGCTCAGTTGTCGGCGCGTTCTCCAGGTGCTGTTTTGTCGTCTGACCGACGCCCAACGGACCATGTACCAGGAGTACCTGCAGTCGGACAGCCTGCGGCGCATCCTCCAGGGCAGGCTGAAGGTTTGTTATGATGCGCCCGCCCGGGGTCGGCGTCTGGAGCGGCCGACGGCGCGCGCCAGTCGCTCGCCGCCCGCCGCCCAGTCGGCGCGGGTCAGCGGGGCGATCGCTGACACCGCCGTCAGAGTGGCGGCCTGTGTGTGCCGCGGGCCGGCGTGACCGCTGGGCCGTCACTGGCGGCCGCTGACACCGCCTTCAGAGTGGCGGCCTGTGTGTGCCGCGGGCCGGCGTGACCGCTGGGTCGTCACCGGCGATCGCTGACACCGCCGTCAAAGCGGCGGCCTGTGTGTGCCGCGGACCGGCGCGACCGCTGGGCCGTCGTTGGCCGCGGGTCGAGTCGGAGCGGTATCCGCAGATATGCTACAGTTCACTGTTTATGTGAGTTGAGTCGACCGGCCTGACAGACGAGACCGTCCAGCCAGGTGCGGGGTAAGGGCCACACCCTCCTACGCTCAGTCACGGTCTCTGCCGGCCAGCTGTAACACCGTCCGAAACTGACCAGTGTGTGGTCATATTGTTCTCTGGCCCCCGTTTTATGTGTTGATCAGAGCGATGTACGGGAACTACTGGACGAAAAGACAACGAAACCAGGCACACGGACTTCACGAACTACATGCTGTGCAATTCATTGCACATGTCCAGCGTTTGCGAGGGGCGAGCTGGCGGATGTGTTGCGGTCCGGCCTGCGCACCGCGTCAGTCCGGTGGCGGCTGTGTGCTGCGGTCCGGCCCGCGCACCGCGTCGGTCCGGTGGCGGCTGTGTGTTGCGGTCCGGCCCGCGCACCGCGTCAGTCCGGTGGCGGCTGTGTGCTGCGGTCCGGCCCGCGCACCGCGTCAGTCCGGTGGCGGCTGTGTGCTGCGGTCCGGCCCGCGCACCGCGTCAGTCCGGTGGCAGCAGTGTGCTGCGGTCCGACCCGCGCGCCGCGTCAGTCCGGTGGCGGCTGTGTGCTGCAGTCCGGCCCGCGCGCCGCGTCAGTCCGGTGGCGGCTGTGTTGCGGTCCGGCCCGCGCGCCGCGTCAGTCCGGTGGCGGCTGTGTGCTGCGGTCCGACCCGCGCGCCGCGTCAGTCCGGTGGCGGCTGTGTGCTGCGGTCCGGCCCGCGCGCCGCGTGAATCCGGTAGCGGCTGACCTACCGGCCGCCGCCAGGTGTTCGTCGGCCTGATCGCCATGCGGAAGATCTGCAACCACCCGGACCTGCTGTCGGGCGCGCCTGACCCGGAGCAGGAGCTGGAACAGGGGTCGGAGCCAGAGGCCGGTCGGTACGGCTTCTGGCGCCGCTCCGGCAAGATGGTGGTGCTGTCGGCCCTGCTGCAGATGTGGCGCCGGCAGCAACACAAGGTGCTGCTCTTCACGCAGAGCAGACAGGTCAGTGGAACGCTCCTTTCCATTTGCCCGTCCGTGTCTTCTTTCCTCCCTCCCTCTGTCCCTCCCTCCCTCCCTCCGTCTCTCCCGCCTTCCCTCACTGCCGTAAGTGGGCCGACAAGGCGGTCTAGACGCGGTCGAGGTGTGTGGGGTTACGGTTACGTTTTACGTGTTTGCGACGGCAAAAAGGAAGCGTTTTTGGGGTAAGGACGGACCGAGCAGCTGCGGTGTGGCCAAGGAGGCGAACGGTGTGGCCCAGCTGCGTCGATCGGTCGCCGCGCCGGTCGACCGCCGCACCGGTCGGTCGCTGCACCGGTCGGCCGCCGCGCCGGTCGGTCGCTGCACCGGTCGGCCGCCGCGCCGGTCGGTCGCTGCACCGGTCGGTTGCCGCGCCGGTCGGCCGCTGCGCCGCCTCCTCGCAGCCCGCTCCCAGCGTGATGACGGCGCGCCGCCAGATGCTGTGTATTCTGGAGGCTTTCCTGGTGTCGTGTGACTACCCATTCCTGAAGATGGACGGCACGACGACGGTGGGCTCGCGCCAGAAGCTGATTGGCCGCTTCAACAGCGAGCCCGACCTGTTCGTCTTCCTGCTCACCACCCGCGTCGGCGGCCTGGGCGTCAACCTGACCGGTACGACCGTCGCTCACGCTGGCTGCTGCTCGCCACACACCATACCGGACGCCGGAGAAGGCGCCGGCGCCCGTGCGAGTCCGGGTTCTGGTGTCTCGAGTCGGAGCCCTCCCTCGTCACATTACAGCCGCACTGGGCCGAGTCGGGGTCCCTCCCTTGTCACATTGCAGCCGTGCTGAGCCGAGTCGGGCCCTCCCTTGTCACATTACAGCCGTACTGAGCCGAGTCGGGGTCATCCCTTATCATATTACAGCCGCACTGGGCCGAGTCGGGCCCTCCCTTGTCACATTGCAGCCGCACTGAGCCGAGTCGGGCCCTCCCTTGTCACATTACAGCCGTACTGAGCCGAGACGATATTTTGACGGTGCATGGGTCCGAATTTGGATCCGAAATTAAGATGCTAAAACCTGAATTCCCAGTCTTCAGCCGCGAGCGGGATGACACATGACAAAAACAGGCTCGTATCAGGCTGTCGTGATCAGTGTCAACCATAAAATCGTAACTGTTGATAAAGATACACCTATCCTAACGTTACATACCCCATGTTATTGAGTGACAATAATTGTTATCGTATTATAGGGATGGGTCTTTACAAAGTCGCAGTGACCGATGCTTAATCTGACGTGACGTAGTCGTGATCAATACAGCCTGATGACATCCATCGAACGAAACCAGGCGAAACAAACCCAACCTACCCAGCGCAAGAGCGGGCCGGCCGGCCGGCCGCGGCGGTCTCTGGTGCGGCCGCTCTCGTGCCGCAGCCCGGCGGGTGACGTGGCATCCCCTGCTGTCAGGTGCTAACCGAGTGGTGATCTTTGACCCCGACTGGAACCCGTCGACGGACCAGCAGGCGCGGGAGCGGGCCTGGAGGATCGGCCAGCAGCGGCACGTCACCATCTACAGGTGGGCTGGGCGGGTGGCAGCTAACAGCGGCACGGCACCATCTACAGGTGGGCTGGGCGGGTGGCAGCCAGCAGCGGCACGGCACCATCTACAGGTGGGCAGGGTGGGTGGCAGCCGGCAGCGGCATGTCACCATCTACAGGTGGGCTGGGCGGGTGGCAGGCGGCACGTCACCATCTACAGGTGGGCTGGGCGGGTGGCAGCCAGCAGCGGCATGTCACCATCTACAGGTGAGCTGGGCGGGTGGCAGCCAGCAGCGGCACGTCACCATCTACAGGTGGGCTGGGCGGGTGGCAGCCAGCAGCGGCACGTCACCATCTACAGGTGGGCTGGGCGGGTGGCAGCCAGCAGCGGCACGTCACCATCTACAGGTGGGCTGGGCGGGGTGGCAGCCAGCAGCGGCACGTCACCATCTACAGGTGGGCTGGGCGGGTGGCAGCCAGCAGCGGCACGTCACCATCTACAGGTGGGCTGGGCGGGTGGCAGCCAGCAGCGGCACGTCACCATCTACAGGTGGGCTGGGCGGGTGGCAGCCAGCAGCGGCACGTCACCATTTACAGGTGGGCTGGGCGGGTGGGACGTCACCATCTACAGGTGGGCTGGGCGGGTGACAGCCGACAGGCGGCACGCTTCTGGGGATCGATGCTCACCACTGCCCGCAGCCTGATACGCTGGAGAAAAGCAAAGCAGCCCTGCTAGTGTAAGTGTAGCGAGTGGTGATAGCGCGCGCCCTACCGGGTGAGTTCTGTGCGCGCCCTGTTCGGTGTGCTGTGTGCCTGCTGGACGCCGTGCTGCGGCCGATGTCAGGCGGAGTTCGGAGGCGAGGGGGGGGGAGTCGAATCTCCGCTGATGGACGTGGCGCCCCCTGATCAGACACACCACAAATTGGGACCGATTCGTCGTCACCGCGTCCAGAAGTCTGTGCTGCGGGAGCATGGCTACCGCGGCACTTCTCCTGATGCTTAGTGCCGACGCACTGGCTCTTTCCTTTGAATGATATAGATTGGTAGAGTGACAGATTGGAAGCCTGCGGCACTTGTCTTCTGTAGTGTAATTCACGCTCTGTATTGTTTATCACTGAGCAGGCTGATTCGCATCGGATCTTAGTCACACAGCGCATGGAGTGAGCAAGTATTTGTATCGGCCTCAGGCAGGCTTATCAAACTGTTTGATGACCGACCACCTGGGGTTTAAAGATAACCCCTTTCGAGTTTCGGGAACATCTTCTGAGCCGTGCCAAGTCGGCCTATCCACTGTCCGCACCTGACAGGTCATGACTGAGGCACAGTATAGAGGGACGAACGCCGATGTCGGGTCTGGCCGTGGGTTATGGCGTCATTAGTGAAGGCCTAGACGCCTCTCTTCACCTCCACAATCACTCGCAGTGTTTTGCCTGTTTTTGAATAGTTTGTTTTGGATTTATATGTCCGTGACCGGATAGGGTATAGCTATCGTGTGGTTTGGCTGTTTGCTAGCCAGGGTCAGTCACGCTATTCGAGGTCACGAGGTCCTGGCCAAAGGTCATGTTAGATGATGTAACGCGTGTGGAACAGCATGCCTTGTTGCGCACATTTTTTATTTTAAGAGGGTATGGGGGACACATTTTCCAGTCATTGACTTGCAGCGTGGTGTAATCGGGAAGAGCAGAAACATCTTACCGCATGGGGTGGCCTGATCTTGATCTTATCTTGATCCTGGGCCATTGATACCACCACAGTTTGATTCTAATGATGATATACGTCGCCTCGTTCGGTGCCTGTCGCAAAGCCATCTGACCACCGTTCCGAGTTTCGGTGGAGATGAGGCATCTAGCGTGGTTCGTCACGTGACAGACGTGAACCAAACAACTGCTGGGTGTGAGTGACTTAGACGCGCCACCAGGTTGACGGAATAAAGATGCGTGTCGTATTTACCCGGCACGTGTATTCAAAAAGAAGGTGTCCTGACAAAATAACGCAGAGACGCAGGGTTGGGACACAAGTATGTGCGATTTAGTGTTGAGGCGAAACGTCGGTTCGTTACCGGAGTACGTCTGGTGGGCGTGAACGCGGACAGTGTGAGTCGTGGTCCACTTTTGATACGGTGGACTATGTTTTGTTTTTTCAACCTGGTGACTATTTTGCCGTTCTCGCTAGTGTGCGGCAAGATCTGGAGGAATGGCTTATGGTGCGCGGTTGTTTGCGGTCTGTAGTTATTATGTATGGAAGATGATTTTGCTTAGGATAACTGGACGCGCGGGATGTAATGCTGTTTTCCTGTTTCAGATTGCTGACGGCGGGCACAATTGAGGAGAAGATTTACCATCGGCAGATATTCAAGCAGTTTCTCACTAACCGTGTGCTGAAGGACCCCAAGCAACAGAGGTGAGCGGCGTTTCCCAATGTTCTTAATAGGCGATGCGGCCTCCAGCACTAGTCGCCACGTCGGTGATTCTAATTACATTTTGCACTTCATGGTACATGCTTTTGAGCTTACCGTTTAAGGACTGTTTTGAGCCTCTTGCGAATGGGAGGTATGTGAGAACCCTTTGTCTTTGTGACAACGTGTAATGTTTTGGGCTCGTTATCACGCCCCTCATGCAACCTTTTGGCCCATTAGTTTCATTTTTTGCAGATTAGTCCGAGCCTTTTGACTGGCTGGATTGCCACCATCAGCGCACGGGCTAAGCTGTGTATGTTGTTTGAGACCTGACACCGCCACTTGATCGTGAGGTTCCGGGCTAACGGCATAATATTCTGGGGAAAGGAAGAAGAAAAGCTTAACGTGTAACAATGCGCGGCACGGTTCGTCTTGCCCTCTGACGTCACTTGACCTTTAGCGCGACGGCTGACGTCGATCGCGGCCATCCCAATCAGGGGCAAACAACGGGCGCCTAAAGCGACTCGAAGTCACCCGCTACGGCTGGGAAAATCTGAAACCAGGCGCTCTAACCATCTGAACTCTCGGGACAGACGGACAGCTGACCGCCGATTAAGATATGAGCCCCGCATTTGATGGATTGATATATGAGCCCCGCATTTGATGGATTGAGATATGAGCTCCCCATTTGACGGATTGAGATATGAGCCACTCATTTGATGGATTGAGATATGAGCCCCGCATTTGATGGATACTGAAGCCCCACTGACCCCTTCACGTGCCACGCTTAGACGAGTGTCAGAGGTACCCGTGGGGTCTCATTCGGACCACTTCAGAGGCTGGCTTGGGCCAATTAAATTCCGTCGGCACGTAAGCGTGGGAAGCTGATGTTGTTATGTCTTTTCGCCCCGCCTGTCCGATATATCGGAATAGCCCCATCCGATGGAGTCTAACATAGGTGGAACGGAAGACTAAATGAAGCTAAATGAAGTTTGAACGCGTTTCAGTCTTCGAAATTTTGAGGGGTATGGGATTACCCCATTTTACTTAGTACACGTTGACGATACCCGTTGCATTGCAAACTTCATTTAGCTTTACTTAGCCAGACACAGCGGTGTTTTGGCGGGGGCGTCCGGGCTCGGCGCTGATGCCTGCTGTGCCGTGTGCTGTCCTCGCTCAGCGTGTGCTGTCCTCGCCAGGTTTTTCAAGTCCAACGACCTGCATGACTTGTTCACGCTGACTGAAGACCCGTGCGATGGGGCGGACGAGGCCCGGGACGGCGCCGAGGGCGCGAGCCGTACCGAGACGGCGGAGATGTTCGGAGGTAGCCAGGTATGTCCGGGCCGGGCAGGATGGCTGGGGGGATGGGACTTGGGACGGCGCCGAGGGCGCGAGCCGTGCCGAGACGGCGGAGATGTTCGAAGACAGCCAGGTAGGGCCCGGGCCGGACAGGGTGGCCGGAGCATGAGCCCGGGATGGCACCGAGGGTCTGGAGTAAAAGGTCTGGAATAACAGACATGTACTCATTCAGTGCTGTGTCGGCGTGAACCGCTTGTTTTTGATCTCCGATGTCAAGTGTGTTGCAAACAGAATGTCTGTAACGGCTGTCTTCCTCAAGATTCCCACCAGCCAATCATCGCAGTTTGGCCTTCGACCTTCGCATTGTGATATGGCGTGTTCATCTCAGTAGTAGTGGTTACCCATCGACGCCAGGTGACGGGGTCGTCGCTATGGCTTAGGAGCTGGCGCTGTGGCCACTGCCGCTCCGTGATCGCTCCGACCACTCAGCTTAGTCCTTATCGCTAGCTGAACAGGGTATCGTGGTGTTCTTCTGTGGCTGATAACAACTATTTAGGAGAAATGCAATTGCTACGTATTAAAGGAAGTGTTTGACACTTGAAGGTATGGAAGCAAGCATCAGATGTGATGAAGTAAGCTCACTTATAGCTATTGGTATACTTTTTAGGTGGGGAAATACTGCGCTAGACAGCACACTTATCTGTTTGGGAAATATGCTCCTCAAGGTGTCATAGTTTGGTTACGTGATCGTGCCTTGCCCAGCATTGATTGAAAGCCAACTGACGGCCGATATATCTGGAAAGCACGCTCACGAACGCCAGATATGAACCCCTTAACAATCATATTTTTCTTGGCCTTGATCGCCGCGCGGCGCGTGGAATGGCAGAATTTAAGTGACGTTGTTCTAACATGAATGCCAAGGTGACTTTGAAATACTCTCCCCAGTATACTTTTTCCAGTTTTCACTGGCGTGTAGTTCAGAAACTAGAGGGACTGAGGTCTTAGGAAGGGCAGGGTTGCAAACAGCATGAAAAGGTGTTTAAGATGGCTATTTCAGTTCAAAACCTTATGTAAATGTGGACCACTCCCTTTAAGTATGAGTGGAAGGAAGTCGCCCGTGCCCGATTGTGAGCGCGGTTGAACCGCGTGTGCTGGCCATCGGTGGTGTGCTGTTCTGGCCGCACCGGTGTGGAGAAGCCTCAGCGGAGAGTGAGGGCCGACCCTGCGGCTAACGGTGTCGCCGTCGGGCGTCTGCAGGTGAGCGCGGCCGCGCTCCGCCGGCGCCGAGAGCGGCAGCGGCAGGCCCGCCGCGAGCAGCAGGCCCAGCAGCAGCGGCGGGCGCTCAGGCGCAAGCGGCGCCTGCTGGAGAAGGCGCGCCACCTCAGCCGACGGCTGTTCGGAGCGGCGGCGTCAGGCAGCCAGACGGGGCCGGCGGCGCCGAACGGCCAGCACCAGGAGACGGACGGCCAGCACCAGGAGGCGGACGGCCAGCACCGGGAGACGGACGGCCAGCACGAGGAGACGGACGATCAGCAGCAGGAGACGGACGATCAGCACCAGGAGACGGACGGTCAGCACCAGGAGGCTGACGGTCAGCACGAGGAGACGAACGGTCAGCATCAGGAGACGGACGGTCAGCACCAGGAGACGGACGGCCAGAACCAGGAGACGGATGGCCAGTGCGGCACAGTTCCGGCGCAGTGCGGCCGGAATGTCACGGCGCTGGTGTCTGAGGCGCGCGGGGCACCTGACGGCCGAGGCGTCGGCGGGCAGGCCGGTCCGCCCCCGGTACCGGCCGGCCCGTCCTCGGTACCGGCCAGTCCGTCTCCGGTACCAGCTGGCCCGCCCTCGGTACCGGCCAGTCCGTCCCCGGTACCGGCCGGCCCGCCCCCGGTACCGGCCGGCCCGCCCCCGGTACCGGCCGGCCCGAGTCAGGACGACGGTAGCAGAGGGACGCGCCGTCGTCGGCGGCGGAGGCGGCGGCCGAGCGAGCTGGATCCGGTCGAGGGTCTGGTCGACTCGGAGATGTACCGGCCGCCACAGACGGCCGACGCTGACCGCTCGCAGGTGAGGACGGGCGCAGCCTCCGGCGCTCAGAGCCTCGGACGAGCGGAGCCACCGCCGACAAGCGTCACGGCTCAGGCGTGCTCATGTTTTGTGCTGTGCTATGACATCGGCTGCGACTCGAGCAGTAATCCCGTGCCCGGGTCATCTTCCTTTGGTTATCGTGACACCATAGCGGGCAATGTTCTGCGGCTAACAATGGAGCCACGCGGTGTTATTACAACGGCGGCGCATTGTTTGACCCAGGGGTTGCCACAGCTGTTAGCGGCCATGTGGCTGACCGACTGCAGTGGAGTGTGGCAGAGACCCGTTGCCACGAGGCGCTGCCATGTGACGCAGCGACGACACTGGCGTGCTTGGCCCCTTGGTCCGCTGCGTGGTATTTAAAAGCCAACGACATTGGGCTAATTAAGATGCAACGTACATAGGCAAAAAAAAAACTGCTCAACTGAGCGCTTATTCTGGTCTTATGTTATGTCAGAATTCTCTTCGTGGAATGTCATCAAAACGTTTGATGGGAGGCTGTTTATGATCCGTACCAACTATGTTTTTTGAGAGCCGAAACATAAAAGTTAAGCAATGTGGCCTTTTCAACTAACTCACTTTGACCTCTGCTCAGCTCAGGGCAGCCAATGCCCAGTGGCGGAACTGTGCAGCCTGTTTGGCCGGGAAGATCTGTGCTGGTGCAGCTAATGATGCTGTTTCCAGCAGGAGCCGGCATGGCGTCATCTGCACCATGTGTTTTTTAGTAGTTTGTGACGTCAGCTATTGAGGGAATATCCACGATCGTGCTCTACGACGCTAGTGATGTCATGGTCGAGAGAGGTCGCTGTGACACCGGAGTGGCGCGGCAGCCCGGGGGTCGGCTTCCGCGGCGTGCGGTCCGGACTCGGCTCACCTGCGGCCGGTGATCTCTGGCGGCTGGATGGCTCACGACCGCGCTGAACCGCCTCCAGGATGACTACGTGCTGACCAAGCTGTTGAAGAAGTCGGGCGTGCACTCGGCGCTGCGGCAGGACGTCATAGAGGGCCACGGCACGCCCGACGGCGCCATCCTGGAGGCCGAGGCCAGCCGGGTCAGCGGGCCGAGCTGGGCTCACCCGGCTCTCGTTTGACTGCCGCTTGCGAGGCCGCCTCCCAGCGTGCCACGCGCCACCAAAGCATAAGCAGACGCCGTTATCATTCGGACATTACGTGTTGTGAGGGTCATGGGGTATATTTTTGTCTTGCCGTGTTTCGCAAAAGCGCCACACCCATCGTATTATGTTGCTTGCGTTATCATCGGCTTTTTGCGGACGCTTGGCATTGGTGTTGTTAAGTCGTCCTTTTCAGCGGTACTGTGCCGGAATGTTCGTATAGGGCATTGCGTGCGTGGCTCAAGGAGAGCAGAAGGCCCGCCCGACGGCGGGTCTGACGGCCGTCAGCAGATCAGGGGCGCAGGAGGGCCGACGGCAGGCTCGCTCAGAGCGCGCTGACACCCCGGGGCCGGGGTCGCCGTCGCTTGGTCGGCCAGCCGGCCGGCGGCACTGAACGGGCACTGGTGGCGGCAGGTGGCGCGGGAGGCGGTGGCGGCGCTGCGGGCGAGCCGGCGAGAGGTGCGGGCCGCTGCCGAGCCCGGCGTGCCCACCTGGACCGGCCAGAGCGGCAGGGCCGGCAGGCCCGGCGCCAGGTCAGACGGGGAGGGAGGCAAGAAGGGAGAGATGGAGGGAGGAGGAAGGGGGTGAGTGAGGAGTGGGTGAGTGAGTGGATGAGTGGATGAGTGGATGAGTGAGTGAGTGAGTGAGTGAGTGAGTGAGTGAGTGAGAGTGAGTGAGTGAGTGAGTGAGTGAGTGAGTGAGTGAGTGAGTGAGTGAGTGAGTGAGTGAGTGAGTGAGTGAGTGAGTGAGTGAGTGAGTGAGTGAGTGAGTGAGTGAGGGAGGGAGGGAGGGAGGGAGGGAGGGGAATGCGTGGTGGCAGCGGTGGTGAGGAGGAGGAGAGGAGGAAGGTTTCACTTCCCGCCCGCTTATTCTTCTGGCCGCGCTGCCGTCGGCGCATGAAGTATCGTGCCCCGTGCTGCGTACGGCGGCCATGTTGTAACCGTCTTGATTTGCCTCAAATTTGCATCATTCGCACTGCACGCTTGCCGCAACGGTCAAAACACATCCTTGCGTCACGTCTGCTTTACCGCGCCGTGCCCGTCTGCCGCACGGGCTTCACGCACGGTGTCGCCGTTATCACAGAGGTGTTGTCCAACCTCCCTGCTACCGCAGCCTTTTTTCTTTGAGTTCTCAGCGCCGCGAGAAAGCATTTGCAGATGCGTCCGATGCACGTGAGCTGCGTCCATCGGCCGCATTTCATTAGCCGATTGCGTCTCACTCTGCGTGTGGCTTCTGTCGGCAGGCCGCGGTTCGGCCAGAAAAAGAACCCGCTGCTGGTGACTGCCAAGCCAGCCGCCCCGCCGCCGGTCAAGAAGGCGGCCCCGTCACTGCCGACGCTGTTCGCGCCTGACCCGGCCGGCGCGCGCCGCGGCCCGTCGCGGCCGCCGCCGCCGCCGCCGCCGTCGGCCCGCCCTGTTCACCGGGCCGGCGGCGCTGGGCGCCAGCGGGACGGCGCGCGCCGCCGACCAGACGCCGCTCGGCTCGGCCGAGCTGCTGGCGCGCATCCGACGCCGCGCACAAGGCGACAGCGGCGCGTCGGCGGCGGACGTGGCGGGCCAACATGCCGACCTGCTCGCCGACATTCGCAACTTCGTCGCGTTCCAAACGGAGACGAACGGCCGGGCCAGCACGCGCCAGCTGCTGCGCGAGTTTGCCGGCCGGCTGCCGGCCGAGCAGACGCCGCTGTTTCGGGCCCTGCTGGCCGAGATATGCGTGTTTGATCGGGGCGCTGACGGCACTGGCTGGTGGCTGCTGCGCGACGAGCTGCGCTGACGGCACCGGCTGGTGGCTGCTGCGCGACGAGCTGCGCTGATGGCACTGACTGGTGGCTGTTGCGCGACGAGCTGCGCTGACGGTTGTCGGCGGAGTCCGGCTGGGACGGCTGTCGGCGGAGTCCGGCTGGAACGGCTGTCGGCAGAGTCCGGCTGGGGTGGCTGTCGGCAGAGTCCGGCTGGGACGGCTGTCGGCGGAGTCCGGCTGGGGCGGCCGGCAGCCATCCCAGTGATCCGCCGACCGGCCGCCCGCCGCGTTAGGTGCGGAGGAGGGCAGCTGACGGCCGAATGCAACTTCCCGCTCCCGACGGTAATCTGTCTGATCTTTGTTGTTGATTTGTCATGTGATTATGACAAATATGTTGTAATCATGTTATGGTGACCGTTTTTCGAACAATATTGTACGATTCGTTATAATGTCATGATGCTCCCATGTCCTCGTCTAATAGAATGTGGACCGTCCTGACTTTAACTTTCTACGTGTTGAGTTCAGGCTGTAAGCGCCCGTCACTGAGTGCATTTAGCCGTGTTGTCTGATTCGTGTCCGGCTATCCCCATGTCGGAAGCAGCGGTACGCGAGACGCGCCCGAGATCACGTGATGCACTAGTCCCGCCCCGCGGGTAGCGGCGGGACCCGGCGGCGGGTGCCCGGTCCCGCCTTGGTCGGCGTGCACACGGCGGGGCCATATGAGCGTATTGAGCAGACATCCGCCGCCGGCCGGACCTGATGTTCAGCGGCCGCTTCATGCCCCCGAATCAGTGTTACCAAAGCACACAGGCCTGCGGTCTACGCCCGGTTATGGATATTTTTAAACGCTGTTGTATTTTCCTCTTGGGCGCCAAGTGCCCACCGCAGTCGGCGCGCCTGTAAACTCCAACAAACAACAAGTATTTTCCTCTGCACTCGGAGAGCGACCAGCCGCCCACCAATGGGACGGCATGTGAGTATCATGTCAACGCTTGGAACAAACAGGTGCCGACAGTTGGGCCGGATGGGAGTGTCAACCGACCGCTCTTAACCAGCGTTATCAACCACTACGGCGTGTGAGTGTCATGTCAGCGCTTGGAACAAATAGGCGCCGACAGCTGGGCCGGATGGGAGTGTTAACCGTCCTTTCTTAACCAGTGTTATCAACCACTACGGCCCCACGTGCGGCGCACCAGCATGCCAGAGTTAAAAACTGACGTCTATTGACGCATTATGTTTGGACGCGAAATATGACGTCCCAACATTGGTGAAATTAGGTGCTGATGAGCGCAGATTTTCAATAGGTGCGGACTCCAGGCCCCGATTGGTGACACGCTGCCAGTATTGTGCTTCATATGAGAGCGCGCCGGCCGGCGGCCTCTCGATGCGGCGTCGCACGGGGGTCGGTCCAACGCGTCCAGCAACTCAGCACCAGCAGGCGGACCCGCTTCTTGGGTGTTGCTCGATGGCCCAGCGCTAAATGGATCAGACGGGCAAGCCCCGCCCTCGGCACGTGGTCGCTATTGGTTGTTAAACGCGACCGTAGTTTCTTTTCCAAGTAGTCAGCAGCCTCCCGCTGTTGAATAAGACGTCGTGTCACGCTGACGAGTTCAACAAGTAGGTGGTGGTGCCCTGACCTCTTGTATGGACGTCGTTCCACGGCCATGAGCTAGTGCTATCAAACACACAGCTCCTCTTCTCGCTCGATGCTAAATATCTTGAAGGCCTACCGTCGCCTACTTGAAGGCCTATCGCGCATGGGGTTTCCACTAGATTTTTGGGAGTTTTCACTAGATTTGTGACACCGCTACACAATTCCTGATAATACGTGCTATCACCGCAGATTTTTCAACAGATGCTGATTGCAGGTGTAACATGACGACACGCCTGTAACGAGATTGGGCTCCATTCCCCGGAACCTGATCCCGAGCGGCCTCGGTGTAAATTACCCCGAGGAGCCGTTCTTCGCGGCTTACACAGATCGCCCCGAATGGGAAGCCCCCCCCCCCCCCCCCCCCCTCAAACGTATGCGCGCGTCATCCAGCTATAGCGCCTGGGCTGGGGCGCCTGATTAGGCTTTCCCTGACGCTCTATCATGAAAGAGCCGGGTGTCGCCCAACGACCTTAGTTCGAGGGCCGTGCCAGCAACCTGCCTCGGCGGCCGGCGTCGCCGACCGCTGAGGCAGCGCCGCCTGGCGGCCAGACTCTGAATCGACTGATCATTGAAACCGTGTCTAGCCGGGGCCGCGCCATACATGAGATGGCGCCCGCCTACCGCCCTGTCCGACATAATGCCAACCGCCGAGCGACTGCGAGCATCGCACCGCAGCAGATAAGAAGTACTTTGAATATTTAGGTGCAATTTGAGATAATCTTGCTGCTAACTTGACGATCATGTCTGGATTGAACGAGCCTAATGCGTTCTTTCTCAATAAAGGGTTTTGTGGCACCATCCAGGAATCGCACCATACATTGAAGCGGGTGCAGATCTTGGATTTTGTGAAGGGAAACCACGAAACATTGTGGGGCACCTAGAGGTGGTTATTGGTCGCTGAACACAGAACACAGTCGCACACGCAGAACACCACCATTTCCATGCCATTAAATTTTAAGATTCATCTTGTATTTTTCTTACGGGGGCCAACCATACTGTGTGTAGCCCTAGATAGCTAGGTCTACTACGTATGCACGCACATTTAGCTTATTCTTTTCTCCGTATAATGTCAGATCCGATCATTTTGGCGCTAAACATTTCGGAAAAAGCATGGCAAAATGAACTGAAGTTGGCTACCAAATGCCACCAAAACCAAGTAAAACTTTATTCCTAGCTTATCTATGGCTGGCCGGCTAGTCGATTAGGTCAGCTATGGTTGATGACTAATGCAGTTTTTGCTTTGTCTGTTAACAGGGAGAACAAAATATCCTGGCATTCAAAATGTCCTAAGAACGTGATGCACAAGTGTAAGTGTCATACGTTCAATAACCAGCGGAAATGACGCACGACTTTGGCAGTGCATAGATTATGTCGTCATTCGCTCGTAGAAGTTCATCAGCGCATCTCCGATAGCTGTTCTTAAGGTAAGGCGCCAAGAGAAGTCGTCATCCTGTAGTCTCGGACTCGCGTACATGAAGTAGTTTAGCTAGGCCGTACACACGGGCAGGCGAAAGCCCTGGCGCTCGCAAGCGCACGTGAGCTTTGGGCAAGGGGGCAAGATCTTTCTTACTTCATCCGAAGAGTTCACGACCAATTTCGAGGGCCCCGGAGCGAACAAGAATGTCCCGGCCAATTAAGATGTGTGCCCCCGTCAGCGACCAATAACATGGGAAAGCCCAAGGCCATTACGGATGGAACCTGCGCGAGCGGGAGTGCCCCGGAAAGCTATCACGTGGGACCCCGGCCACAGCGTAGGGCCCTCTGAGCAAAGGGAAACTACCCAAGACCATGAAACACGGGCACATGAAATAATGCCCGTGCGATCAAGAGTGCCAAGTCAGGTTGACAGAGAGGGCCCAGACAGAAGTGAACGGTCCTCCGCAAATGAGATCAAGAGGAAACAGCCGTAGATCAACGTAGAGGGCAACTGGACATCGAGTGCCTCGTTGCATTACCTTATGTGGACCCCAGCAATAGCGCAGGACCCTCCGAGCAAGTGGAACAAACCGAAGCCAATATGAAGGGCCTCTGAGTAGCCGAGTGCACCCCGACATATAGGATCCCAGCGATAGCGTACAGAGCCTTTCGAGCGGATGGAAAGAGTCCGAAGACATCCCCTGATTGATCAAGAGTGCCCCGGCATGTTAGTAGGTAGTGTCCCAACAGCAGCGCAGGGTCGTCCGGGAAAATGCGAAGAGATCAAGGGGAGCGTGGAAGGCTCCTTGGCGATCGGATTGACTCGGCAAAAGGACATATAAAGAACCCCAGCAAAAGCGCCTCTGGACAGCGTAATAAGCCTCAAAAACATCCACCGAATACCATCCTATCGATCTGCGAAAAATTATTTTTGTCTGCTCACGTAGCCTTCGCTTTTGTGTGCGACTGCTGCTGGCCGTCTAGAGGCCCCAAAGCATCCAATGTTGTTGCGTTTTGTGTCAGAAAACTGCGTTCGTTTGGCCGGTATGGCGCCGCGTTGGAGCTTATGGGCCCCTCCGAAGCACAAAAGGGTGGGCATATTCCTGTGACCCCCCCCCCCCCCTCAGGGTCCGCCACTGGCCCGAACAGCTCAACAGATGGGCTCTGATGAGAGCGTGGACCCCCCCCCCATTCAAATAAGAGGTACTCAAGACACGATGTAGAGGGTCCCCGAACGATCGAGTGCGCCCGAGCGGGTCAACAGAGGTAAGATCGTAGGGCCCTCCACTCAAATAGAAAGCACCCAGACCCAATGAAGAGGGCCCCTGAACGATCGCGTACGCCCAAGCAGGCGAACAGACGGCGCCCCAAAAACGTAGGACCCTGAGGAGGTGGCACGGAATCGAAAAGGACCTAGGCCAGTGAAGAGGGCCCATGAGCATATAGCGAGGGTGGCTTTAGGTCAATTGAGACCAACGTGAAGGGCCCCTGAGCAACTGAGAGTACCCGGCTGATGCACATATGGGGCCCCTGGCAATCACGCAGAGCTTTTCGGACGAATGGGAAGGATCCATGGAAGGCCTCTGATCGACAAGACTAGCCCTGCACGTTAGCAGAGGGTCCCGACAGCTGCGCAGAGCCCTCCGAGCAAACGCAAAGAAATCTATGACAACATGGAAGGCTCGTTACGATTGCACTGACCCAGCGAATGCACATATGCTGTGCCTCCGGGAACAGCGTAGAGCCTCCGGACACCGTGAAAAGGCTCCCCCCCCCCCCCCCAATCACAACCCTCTGACTGAGGGAAGAATTGCTGGTGTCTGCTCGCGAACCCTTCACTTTCGTTTGCGACTGTTCTCGGTCGCCTGAAATCTCAGAGACGCCCAAGGTTGTTGCGTTTCGTGTTAAAAAAGTATGTTCGGCCGCCTTTGGGCTCCATCGGCCCACGGCCATCTTTGGGCCCAAGGGCCCCGTGCCCCATCCCCCTCTGGATACGCCACTGCATTGCACTGATGATCAATATAAAAACAACTGCAAGCAGTAAGCCCCTCCCTCGTATGGATATTGTACAAAAAAAATTCGTGCTTGCACAGGGAAAGCTCTGCTCTTCCACCAGCCCTGCGCCCGCCGTGCGGGACGCGATCATTCTCGGAGGTGCCAAATAAAAGAAGAGAAGTACATGGTTTCGGTGCTAAGCAATCAGATCACCCGCTGACATAACGGTATGACGTCCTTAGTATGAA